TATATATATATATATATATATATATATATATATATATATATATATATATATATATATATATATATATATATAAACTCTCTCTATATATAAATTAAATGAAACATTTTCCTTTGTCCTGACCCTTTTCTGACTATGCAGGTTAATTGGGAACAAACTCAGATCAAAACTATAAATATTTCAGTCATTTTTCTTCAGTTTCTCACCTGTGAGCTAGACCTACTTGGATAACAAGAAAATCTGACAAACTTTTGTCAGATTTGTCCAACTTGTGGTCTGAACCTGACAAATTAAGAAGAAAGTTGAAACAATAATATTCATTTATTGTTATTTACTTGATCAGCAGATTGTTTCAAACGTTTATTCTGTTTAAACAACAGAAGAAGTCAACTTCCTTCTAAGTTTAGTTGGATCTCCATCCAGTGGATCCATCCTTCAGCAGGACGCGGCGCGGCAGTGACGCGCACATGGGCGTCACCGCCGCCCTGATGATGGGAGGAGACGCTGGCGGCATCTAAGCAGCGGAACAAGCCGCTAACTTCAGAGGAAACTGGTCACCATGGTGAATCGCGCGCTCTCTGGCCTCTCCATCGCGCTCGCGGCGCTGCTGCTTGTTCCGCCGCTGCGCACCGCGCGCACAGCGGAGCTCGCGGCAGAGTTCTCCACCAAAAGCGAGCCGGACTACGAGTTCGGGGACTACAGAGGCAGGTGGTGCATTGACGACCACGGGTTCGTGTACAGCATCGGAGAGGTTTACTACCCGAGCCCCACGGCGTGCCCGTGCACGTGCACAGTGGATGGCCCCGTGTGCGTCCGGCCACGGTGCCCCCGCATCCACCCGCGCTGCACGCGGATCAAGTATAAGGAATGCTGCCCCGTGTGTGAGGCCGTGGCCAGGGTCTGCGTCTACGGAGGGAGAACCTACAGACTGCTGGAGGAGTTCAGGGTGAGACGGACACTAACTTCTCCATCCCTGCAGCTCAGCATCCTGCCAGGGCGCGCGCCTCTCCATCTCCTTACCTGTTGACATCAGTAAAGTCTTCCCAGAATCTAATCTAACCTCTTGGATTAAAAACACTTTGTGGCATTTCATTCATGGGTTAACACATGATTTTGAAGCGTTTTTATATTGAGACCACAAAAGAGTAATCAAAAAAGAAAAGAAAAAATGAAGTTGTATTTGCCATTTTAATAACAACAGAAAATCAAAATTATTTACACAGACTGTACAGAGATAGTTGTTAAATTATTTTCTTACAGATTAAGTTTGCTTTGACTAGGCCACATCAATCTGCTTTGATCTAAACCATCTTATTTTAGCTCTAGCTGGAAGTTTTAGGGTGTTTTCTCAGGTTTTGGTGCAGCTTTTCTTCCATGGTGGTCTATAAATGATCGCTGTCATCCTCCTCTAAGCTTTGACCAGCTTCCCTGTCAATGGAGGCAACAACTGTCCAGGCTGGGTGGTAATGCTGGACCTAAATCTCTCACGTAAACCAAACATCCAAAAAACAGCAGTGATTTCAGCCGTCAGTTTCAGGAGCTCCTATTGCTGAGCTGAAGCAAAACGTCTCAATCACATATTCAAATCTAACATCTGCAATATAGACAGAGAATAAACACAAGTATCAGAAGGGTTCAGTTGGAAAAACCTCATTCTCCTTCATCACTTTCCTATTCATTGTCTTCTCTCTCAGACTGAAATATTCGTATCTTCACGACTCGTACCAATATTTTTTTTCCTCATCCTCACTCAAGTCCTTAGCTGCTGCACACTCACTGGTCACCTTCACTTGTGAGCATCCTGTCACGTTGTGTGGAGGTTTGTTGAGAACCCAAATGCAGAGACAGAAGCTGAGGAGGTTTCTTGCAGTAATCAAGGAATACAGGAACCAGAAAAAAAGGGGAACACATTCTGCAACA